ATGTTTCCTTCACAAATGAAAGATACACATAAAAAAGTGAATCATTTTTGTATTGAACAGTATTTTTCATTTGTTAGAAATACAAAATGTTAAATTAAGCAAAAAAGTATTATATTCATTTCTAATGAATGATTAAATAAATGCTTATTTAAAGCAATAAATTAGTATAATTCATCAGATTTTACGTATTAGAATAATTTGACACTTGATTAGATGAAAATGTGGGAGTTCGCAAGCGAAGCAAGGTATAAGGCTGGGAATAATAATAAAAAAAAAAAATTTTTTTTCTCTAGATTTAGAAAGTAACTGAACAGGGAAATTTATATTATTTTTATGCATTTCGTTCCATTCCCTTCATATTTTATACGCATTTCAATGTTCTTCTGGGAAAGAATATTTAACCGATGAATTGAATTATTTTATACTTTACAACGTTTTGCAATGAAAATAATTGTAAAAATTTTCTTTCAATTCAATTTTAATTATTTATTCTTATATTCTTTCAATTCAATTTTAATTAGTTATCTAAAAAATTTCAAAAATTAAAATTAACGGAAAAAAATACTTATTAACGGAATTAAAATAAATGTTTAATATATTGTCCATTAAAATTGCTACACCAGGAAGAAATGCAGATAACAAAATGATATTTATTGGGCAAATATATTATACTGGAAATAACAAGTAATTAAATTTTCAAAATTTGGGTACATAGATCCTGAGAAATCGGTACCCAGAACAACCACCTCTGGCAGTAATAAAAGCGCTTGTAAGCCTGGGCATTGAGTTAAACAGAGATTGGATGGAATGTACAGGTACAGATGCCCATGCAGCTTGAACACAATGCCACATCAACTGTAGTGACTGGCGTATGGTGACGAGCCAGTCGCTCGTCCACCATGAATCAGACGTTTCCTATTGGAGAGAGATATGGTGAACGTGCAGGCCAGGACAACAGCCGAACATTTTCCGTATCAAGGAAGGTCCGTACAATACCAGCAACATGCGGTCGTGCATTATCCTGCTGAAATGTAGGGTTTCGCAGGGCTCGAATAAAGAGTAGAGCCACGGGTCGTAATACACGAGAAATGTATAGTGTACTGTTCAAAGTGCCGTCAACAAGAGGTGAACGAGACGTGTATCCAATAGAAACCCGTACCATCACGCCAGGTGATGGGTCAGGTAACGATGACGCATGCACGCTGCCAATGTGCGTTCACCACGATGCCGCCAAACACGGATGCGACCATCTTGATGCTGCAAACAGAACCTGGATTCATCTGAAGAAATGACGTCTCGCCATTCGTGCGCTCAAGTTCGTCGTTGATCATATTATTGAAGACGCTCCTGTCTGTGATAAAGCGTCAAGGGTAGCTGCAGCCATGGTCTCCGAGCCGAGAGTCCATGCTGCTGCAAAAGTCATCGAACTATTCGTGCAGACACTTGTTGTCTTGCAAAGGACCCTAATTCTTGACTCAGGGCTCGTGACGTGGCTGCACTAACCATTAAGGAAATGCGGGTAACTTGCCTGTCTTCTCGGCTGCTAGTGATAGGGTGCCGTTGAGCTCCAGCACGGCGTTCCGTATTACAGTCCTGAACCCATCGATTCCATATTCTGCTAACGGTCATTGGATCTTGACCGACGCGAGCAGCAATACTGAGATACGAAAAACCGCAATCCCGGTACGCTGCAATTCGCCCTTAATCAAAATCAGAAACGTGCGGGTGCGCACTTCTATTTCTTACACGAGACATCACAAACAACTTTTCACCAGGCAACAACGTTCAAATGCAATTTGCGTATGATAACAATTTCCTCGTTTAAACACATTGTGTAGAGGTAAGTTGCCACCGGCGCCTGCCTTGCTTGAATGCGCCGAGAAGATAATCATTTGCATACCTCAGCACCATCTTCCTGTCGTTTAAATTTCATGTCTGTAGCATGTGGCCTCCTTAGTGTAGCAATTTTAATAGCCAGTAGTGTATTTCAGAATTATTAATAATAACTCTATAAAAATAGATAACTTTCTGTATAAATTCTAAAAAACACTGCAAATCTGTATTACTTTTACAGTAATACAGTTTCACAATAGAGGTTTTATTTTATTTGGCTGCAGATGATAGATTGAAAGTAAATAAGGTTTAATGACTTATAGGCGATTTTTTGATATCATGTTTAGAAAATATTAATTATTATTACTCGCCTTCTTGGCCACCATGGGGCAAAGAAGAAGAAGAAGAAGAATCATTATGCTTATTTCTTTTTAATATTAGGTTTATCATCATAACTTGTTTGTAATGTTTTTTTTATTTCTTTTGCGCAGTTTGTTTTCTCTTAATGTACTTTTGCTGAGTATAAATCTTACCTATAATTTTCTTAAATACGAAAAATTAATCAACTTAAAAAATTACGTTTTTTTTTTTTTAGTAATTTGGATTGTAATTCTCTACTAAAAGCTGTCAAAAAACATTTCAGACCAATATAAATATTATTTTAATATCATTAAATACTGGAATCAATATAAATATTTATTTTTAAAAATCTAAAATTCATAGGACGAAACTTTTTGTAAGTTAACTGTGATCTTCTGTTTTTAAAGTTAATTATTAAATCAATTCATTTTCAATATTTTCTTAAAAATTTTTAAGTATTGGTTATTACCTTCAAAAAATCCCCATTACCTCGAGTAATAATAAAATAATTTACTATTCATGAATGTTTTGGAAAACTTAAAATGAAACCAGTTTCACTTCATTCTGTCTCGTTCAAGACAATTAATGTAAGTATGGAACTATTTTTCAAAAAACGAATCTACCCATATATAACTAAGATAGCTTTAATGAAATACAGAATACATGTCTGTTTACTACATTAGTTTTGCAAAAATATAAATAATTTTTATTTTCGACTAATTTGTAGTATTTATAATATATTTAATTATGAATCATTTATTCAATTTCAAATGGAATCGGAAATCTGAAAGTAGGGGTATGTCTATTTGAAAAACTATAATATTGAGAAATAATTTTTTCTCACGAATTTTATTATTTTACTAGAAGGATAATCAAAATTCATGGAAAAATATTCTTTAATGTTTGATTGTTAAAAAGTCATCATGTTTAAAACAAGAAAGTGAAAATAGTATTAATTGAAATATTGAAATTTAAAAAATTTAATGCTTATAAATACTTTTTCGTAATTTCCTTATAATGAATTGCATAAATTACACTAATAATTTAACATTATGATTTTGTGTTAAACTAACTTATTTATTTTCTAATATTATTTTCCAATTATTTTCTATTTAATAATATTTATTTTCTAATCTTATTTATTTTCCAATTTTTTTAATGAGTTTTAACTTATTTATTTATTTAAATACCAACAGCAAACAGCTAGAAAACTAGAATTCAATTATGGATTTGTGTTCATTATTATTATGCTAATTATTATTTATGTTCCTATGAAATCATTGGCCCTTAAGGTAAATATCTCATCGTAACCTAAGGAATATATTTTTATCTTATAGACTCACATAATCATCTTTATTGATATAATAAATCAGAAATTTTTGTGATCTGTATCATAAAAAATTATACTATAAATTAAAGATCCAGTGCTATCAAATATTAAAATGCAAATAACCCTTAAATATAGTTTAGCTCAACGAAATTATTTTAAAAGTGCTGTATATCATACTAAAACAATTTTATTATTGAGCTATAACTTACAATTCATGAAAAAAAAAATACAAAATGTACATTTTTTCCCTTAACTAATTTAATTTTATTTTTTTTCAAATAAAATAAAATATCATACATGTATCAAATAGATATCATGCATGTTTCACATAAATCAATTATTATACATGCTTATAAGTTATTTGAATATTGTTGTTACAAATTTGAATATTGTTTCTACGAGTTTTACAGTTATTACTAAATATAATTACAAAATTATTGTTGCTTAGGTTACAAATTATATATATTTTAATGCTTGAAATACAGTCAATATTAAGACTCATTATAGAAATTTTATTACAGATCATTCACAATAAAAGCAATACAAAAAATTCTGAACTAAAAAGTGTTTTATAAAAGGAAGCAGGGATAAAAATCTTAACAAATTTATTTTGGTTTAATTAACAAGGAAGCAATGCTATAATTTTGATTAATTCAGATTATTAATTTTTGAATAATTGCACAAATATTTTATAATAAATTATTTTTTGGAATTATGGAAACATTTACCAGCCTTAATTAATTATTTTAAATTATACAACAATACTTACTCCTTTCTTCAAGTTTCATCATTGAAAAAAGTTGAGATTTTGCAAAATAAAAAAAAAATTAGAACAGATTCGAATTGAATATATTTTTTTCCAATAAAATAAAAAGAAATCCCTATGCAAATATTCATTCAAATGATAGTTAACATTTACTTTTTATGTTTAAATGTCAATTCTTTAGCTTTATAAATGTTTATTATTACATACCAACATCAATATAAAATAATCAATATTATAAAGTATGTACATGAATGAAGTTATTTTAAATTAGTAAATATTTCACTTCACAATTAAAAAGCCTAGGTATTAGGGTTTAATTTTTTTACATATTTGCAAATCCAAAATTTGGTTGAATTATTCACAATGAAATACGAAATATCATAAATTATTTTATTAAATTTAGATCAGCAAATATATGTTGTTGTTGTTGTTGTTGTTTCTTATCCCACTTGGCTGGCCAAGCCCACAAGCCCATATGGACTCATGATTGAAGGGGAAGGAAGCAGCTTCTGTTGTGATGGAGCACCCGTAGGTAGAAGCCTGACTTTTGCTCCGTGACGCTCTTACAGTCATAGAAGACCGGGACCTACGGCTTAAAGTGGATTCCGAACCACTACAAACATCCATGGCACCGCCGGGATTCGAACCCGAAACCTGTGGCACCGAGCGCCAGAGCGCTAGACACTCGGCCATTCAGGTCCCAAATTTGCCAACGGCACGCAGTGTTCCCAGGTGGTCACCCACCCAAGTACTGACCGCGCCCAATGATGCTTAACTTCGGTGATCTAACGAGCAAATATATATATAAAAGTAGCGGAATTTATAACTTTAAATTTAAATAAAATGAAATATATATATATATAGATAGATAATTTAAATTTAAAATAAAAATTAAGCCATTTTTACAACAAAAAAAATAATATTATTATATTAATAACACAATTAAAATAATATTTTTTAAAAAGGAATTTTCATAGTATACCAATATTTTCTGTTTTATCCTTTTTCATAATATTTTATAATCTTGTATATAAGAATATATATATATATATATATATATATATATATATAAATATATACATATACATAATATACAAAAGCAAAAGAAAACAAAAGCTACAAAATATAACATTTTGAAATAAAAAATATATATTTTATTTAAATTTAAAGTAATAAATTCAGCTACTTTTACAACAAAAAAGTAATATTATTATATTAGTAATATAATTAAAATAATATTTAAAAAAAAAAAAATTTTCATATCATACACATATTTTCTATTTTATCCTTTTTGATAATATTTCAGTATTCTGTATGCCTGTGTATATGTATAAAGATATATATATACATATATATGCATACATATTCAAAGTTATCAAGAACTACAATGAATAACATTTTGAAATTAAAAAGAAAATTATTTTATTTAATTCAAAGTAATAAATTCAGATACATTATTATGTAACTTACTAGATATTACTGAAAAATAAATCTCAATTTTAATTACATAATTTACAGGCAATAGATTTACAAAATTTATAAAAGTAAAAAAGAATTTGGAAAAGTAGATGATAAAAAATGGTCGTGATGGCTAAATGTCTAGCACACTGTGGCTAGTGTCTAGCACCTGGAGGTTTAGAGTTCGTGTCTCGGCGATGGTAATGGACGCTTGTAGTGGTTCCGAATTCATCTTAAACCGTAAGTTCTGGTCTAATATGACTGCAGGGCTGACAACTCTACCAAGTAAAAAGAAGGAATTTCCGGTCACGAAATCTGCTTGAAGGTAGACTACTGCCTTGACCCACTATGAGGCTGTTGAGCAAGTGAAGAAGATACTGCAAAAATAAAAATAACAATTTTGTTCGGAATCCACTTTATTCCCTAGGTCCCGGTCTAACATGCCTGTAAAGCGTCGGGCTGACAACCCTACGCTGTATAAAGAAAGCGTCTCCTGTCTCGAAATCAGCCAGTAGGCAGACAGCCTTGACCAACCATAGGAGAGGGGGGGGGGCGGGTGCGCCATTGAGAACGATGATGATAATATTTTCCTGAAAGTATTAATACAAAAGCATGAAATGAAATAAGAAATACAGAACAACTAGCATTCGAAAGGTCTAGAGTTGCTACATCAGTTATACATGCACATACACTCAAGAGCCAAAACATTATGACCACCCCTACATTTTGCAATGAACTCGCCTCGATGACGTGGAAGGCACGTGATCAGGTGGAAGTGGTATTTAACTGCTGCTGGAGAGTCTGAAGAATCATTCTTTCACTTACTTCTGTGTGTGATGGGAAAGGCTGCGGATCTAAGAGACTTTGATAGAGGGCAGATTGTAATGGCCCGAAGGCTCGGAACAAGTATTTCCGAAACTGAACGACTCGTGGGTTGTTCGAGATCTACAGTTGTTAGTACTTATGCAAAGTGAATGAATGACGGTGAAACCAGCAGTAGACGACATGGTGTTGGACGTCCACACGCTATCAAAGAAAAAGGTCGTCGGAGACTGTCTCGCATGGTGAAGCAAAACCGGAGCCAGACAGTGGCTCAGCTGACAGCCCAATACAATGCAGGGCCAAATAGAATAGTATCGGAGCACACTGTTCAGCGGACACTGTTGGATATGAGGCTGCGCAGCAAACGTCTCACTCGTGTGCCTTTGCTGACCAAGCATCATCACCAACTGTGCCTGCGCTGGGCCCGGGAACATTGTGGCTGGTCCATGGATCAGTGGGAGAGGGTTGCCTGGTCAGATGAATCACGGTTTGTCATTCATCACGCCGATGGCTGTGTCAGGATACGAGGCCGTCTTCCAGGCGAACAGTTGCTCCCTCAATGTACAGCAGATCATACACAGGCCGGTGGTGGCGGTATTATGCTTTAGGGGACGTTCTCTTGGGCGTCTCTGCGACCCGTGGTTGTGGTAGAGCAGACCATGAATGCTACAGGGTATCTGAACATCATTGCGGATCAGTTGCACCCTTACATGGCCTCTGTTTTTCCAGCTGGAAATGGAATGTTCCAACAGGACAACGCCCCTTGTCACAAGGCTAAAATTGTGTTGGAGTGGTTCCAGGAACATGATGCTGAATTCCAGTTAATGTCCGGGCCGCCTAACACACCGGATCTCAATCCGATAGAACATATTTGGGATGTCCTGGGACGGCAGATCAGAGTTCAAAGACCACCAATTCGCAATATCTTGGATTTGCATGACCGTTGCTTAAACATCTGGTACAATCTGTCTCTGGCCATATACCAAGGACTTGTGGCATCCATGCCAAGGCAGTTTGAAGCTGTGTTGCGTGCCAAAGGTGGGCCAACTCGTTATTGACAGGTGGTCAGAATGTTTGGGCTCTTGAGTGTATATGCAAGCATATTTATTAAATAGTAATAACTATGCCTGTTCAAAATGAGTTTTTCCCCCAACGGAATTTTCTTTTTAAGTGTTATAAGGATGTAATAAACCGGTATGATCGATAGGAGGTGGAGTAAAATCAGTGAAAATAAAATAAAACAAAATAAATTTAAAATTTATTGAACAATTATTCATCTTTGTTTGCTCTTTGTACTAATATTTAAAAATTGAAATAACCTGTGCATTTCAAATGTTTATATGGGATTATATTTTCATTGAAAATAATTCAATTTCTGTAGACTTATCAAGTAAATCTTACAGTGTCTTTCTACTATACTTAGCATAATAATAATACAATGCTTTTTATAACTTATACAAGCAATAGATTTACAAAATTTATAAGAAGTTAAAAATGTAGATTATAAAAAAATGGGCCTGATGACTAAGTGACTAGCTCTCGGAAATACCTAGAAGCTTGGAGTTTGGATCTCGGCTATGATAATGGACGTTTTTAGTGGTTAGAAATTTACCTTAAACCAGAAGTTTCATAAGATAAGTGTAGGAAATTATCATTATGTCACTAGTTCTAACTAACAAAGTATGTTCAATTTATGAAGGCATATCATTATTTTTGCAGAGTTCTATTACATGAATTCAAGTTTTTAATTTTTATCATTACATATTTCCATATAATGAATTACAAATAAAAGTAATATTATGTTTATGCGTGCTAATTAGTACATCTTTTATTAATTTATTCAAAATATAAAATGCCTTATATTGGTCTAATCATTAAATATACTTTGCGTACATAATTTAATAATTTATTTTTAAAATTTAATAAATATTTTCACCTTGATTTTGTCTTTTAAAATTACATATAACTGATGTAAGAATTAAAATTACATATAACTG